ATGACACTCATGGATCGGATGCTCTCGCTCTTGTCCATGATGCCGCGTACCTGCTCCACGGAGAACTGCGGCATCGGACAAGAACCCCCGGATAGGGCCCTTGGGCCCGTGGGCACCAAACCCTCGCAACGAAGCTGACTTGAGCAAACACTCTGGCTCCGGTGTGTGCGCTTCTTGCCAGTGCTGCTCCAATAGTTCATGTTATCGTTAGTCATCTTCTGCATTACATTAGAACCTCAAGGTGCCGAAGGCAGCGGAAGGTGCAGCGCTTGGAGTTCACAGCTTCCGACAGGCTACGAGTATGAAGTCTGACCTTCCGCGGGTGAAAGCAGAGTGGGTCGGGAGTGGATTGTGGTTGCTGCCAAGTGGATTCCACAACGATTCCTTTGCAAAGCTGTTGCAATGCATTCAGAACTTGTATAACTTGTATGCATATATATATATGTATGTTTATGTGTATAGGTAAATAAATAAATAAAATATATATATATATATTATGTATGTATGTATGTATGTATGTATGTATGTATGTATGTATGTATGTATGTGTGTGCGTGTATGTATGTATGTATGTATGTATGTATGTATGTATGTATGTAGGTATGTATGTATGTATGTCTGTATGTATGTATGTATGTATGTATGTATGTATGTACTATGTATGTACTGTAATTAATGTATGTGTATGTGTATGTGTATGTGTATGTGTATGTGTATGTGTATGTGTATGTGTATGTATGTATGTACATATATTTATATGTGTATATATATATATACGACGAGCATCTACCGAAACTATCGCTGGTAATGCAAGACCCAACTCGCAGGCTCAGTTCGGACTGGGCCCACTGCCTGTGTGCTGAGGCGCATGTCATGCACAGGGCCAGGAGCAAACCCTGGCTGCGTGGAGGCACCATTGTTCGCCATGAGAGCCGTTCTAGAGCTGCACGCTTGGATCAAGAGCTTTAAACCTGTGTTTGTTGAGTTATTCGGACCCTGTGTGTGTGTGGCCGAGGTCCATACATAGCATTGGACGTTAATGATCTAAGGCTTACGGTTGCCGCAGCAATCCCACTGAAATTGAGCTGTTGGCTGCGGCTCTGCTACACTTCTGCGCCATGCTGCGGATTCTGTTCGCACATCTGCTGCAAGCGCATGTATGCTGGTGAGCCTCTGCAGTTAAACCGCGACCACACGCCATGCTGCATCACCGAGCGATTGGGGTGCCCTCGGGGAGCAAGGATGAAGGGCAACAAAAAGCAACGGAAAGCAGTGTCGCGCTTGGAATGAAGTCAGATTCCCTCTTCCGGGCAAATGGCGGCGGTGTCGGAAGTGTTCGAAACGCAACCCCGGGCCGGCTGGGCCCCGCTCTTTCTTTGGCGCGAAAGGGCCGAGATCACTTTGCGCTCGATTGCTCGGGAGCGCCCCGGGCAGAGAGGAGAATGCCGTCCTCGAGGTCTCTTGGACCTGTCGAAATGGCGAGCATACAAATGCACCTGCCCGCGTCTTAACTCGTGCAGTTGTGAGATTGTGATCTGATGATGACCAGGTTCTGAATGATTCCCATGACCATGCTGATGCTGCTGGTATATGCTGCTGCTGCTGTCTGCGTCTGCTGTCTGCGTCTGCTGTCGCTGCTGCTGCTGCTGCTGCTGCGGCTGCTGATTGAGTTGGTGTGGTTGTGGTTGTTGTTGGCGATGATGATGAATGGTGAGGGTGATAGCACACCCAGTGGCTGTGGTGACGAGTAGATGCGGCGATTGCTCTGAAGGGACGAGCGACACTGGCTCTGAGCCACGGATAATGATAATGGTCCATGGTGGTTATGATTCATGATTACGTTAATGGTGGGTGTTATTAGACGAGCTTTTATTCGAGTGCCGTTATATTTTTTGCTGGAGAAATTCAGATCTGACGATTGCGACGACAAATATGAGGTTGGGTGGCACTGACACCACATAGAGCAATGATGATGATGATGATGATGATGATGGTCACGTTATGAGCAGTAGCAATCGTGCAGGGCAATGGCGCTGGTGGCGGGAACGATTCTCGAGCACCACTTCATCAATGACGATGACCATGACAAGCACCATCGCTGTGACAATGGTCATTCACACTGTGCAACATGAGTTGCCGCTTTGTGACTCTTGTAACATCTAGTGTAAACAAAGACAGTTCGCCATAACTGACTCAACATGCCTCTTTGCGGAAGAGGTGGCCCTTCTGGGGCAAATAATTCTTGCGATCTCTCTCTGCGAAGCCAGATTGACAACCAACATGTTCGTACTTGATCCAATCACTGTCTGACTTTCCCCAAAGTCGGGACATCCTGGAAAACCCACCACTTGGACCTCGTTCCCGAAGCCATTAAAGCATGGCCTGCAGCGCCACGCTGGATCTTGTCAGTAGCTTTCTTCAGGAACTCCTTAGAAGCTCAAAAGCCATGACTCCCACCCCACCATCAAAAATGGCAGAAGACAATCCCGACAGACAAAGACAGTAACCACAATCCCTATGACAACCCCACCACCATCAGCCATCAGCAAACACGATAGACTGTGACCTTTCTGTCACCGTTGTCACGAATACCATTGCATTGGCTGGCTGCTACTACGTATGGTGGTGAAGGAAAGCTGGAAGTAGTTGCTGGTGTTGCGGCTATTGCGACGATGAGTGCTTGTGGCAGTACAACACTTCTCTTTGGTCTTTGCAGTCGCATCATTCTCCTCGGCATGGTGCAATGACTGGTGCCTGTACTACAGCTCTGACAAACATCGACGTCCATGCAATTTGCTGTGATCCTACAGTGAACAGATAATAAGTTGGTAAGAAATCCGGAAACACTGCTGCAGCAGTCTCTGACCACGGTCTCTCGGCAAGATCGGCAAACGCCACCGAGATGGTAAGAATGGCGGCATACAGCAGGATCCTCGCGTTGCCATGGGGCACAGCGGAATGATTGGCTGTAGCGTCGCTGCAGAGATCCCAATTGACACAGCTCACACACACACAACTTCAAGATGGTTCAAATGGTCCGTGTGCTATGCCAGTCGTGCTCCCACAGAAGTCTGGCCGGGGTGTGTGGGACACTTGAGGCCGATGTGATAGGAGGCTCCTGGTTGCCAAAATGAACACGGACACGAACTCCCGGGTTAACTGATCGATGAAACTTGGGAACATCCAAAGGCACAGACACAAACTAAACATTGCACACTTCCGACAGGCCCGAAACTTTCAACGAAACAGCCACAGCACCAAGTCGTGTGCCGAGACTCGGCTCTAGTTCGAGTGGCAGCAAGTCGCGGAGGGGGTTTGCAAGCAGGTAGATCTGCATGGAATACTCCCCCAAGTTGTGCAAAATTCCTCGGTCTGTGCCCAGGGCTACACTTGACGGTGACATGCGCTCAAGCCAAGGGCGAAGTCTGGCTACCGCATCTTGGGAACGCTCAAGGGAAACAAGCCAACGGTGGTACTCTATGCCACCAAGAACCCCCTCAGAAAGAGTTAGCATGCGGGACTTGTAAAATATGCTGGCCCAGACGGATGTAGTTACCCAAAGTCTGCGCACATATCTATTCAACTGATTGCTGCACAAACTCTTGCGAATCCACCTTAAACCCTAAATCCCACCTATGAATGAACCAAAGGCCGTTAGTTAGGTCAGCTTGAAACTAAAAATCGAGCATCGATGACTGCAGATTCGATTCAAGAGCGATTGGTAACCTCGGATCAGGTCCGGGTCGAACCCGTCTTCGAGAATTCTAGGGGCTGCATCTGATGTGATGTGGTTTGATGCCAACGCAGAAACTGCGACGTGAACCATGCTGGGTTTCTATGATATGGGTATCATAGACTCTAAGGTCGAAGCCCCTAACAACGGAGACTGAAGACGTGCTGCAGTTCCATGGTCCGAACCACTTCAACTCCAAGGATTCTAGGTCTGTAGCAACAATGCACAACCTAGGATTATCCTGTAGCTAGCAGGAAGGACCGGCATGAAGACCACAACGAATCCGCGATGTCAGGAAGGCTCCTCTAGTGGAACGGGGGCTGAGGGGGAAATTCGGGAGTTCCAGCCGGTGCAGCGATACAGAAGCCCTCAGCCCTCCGCTTGGAGATATCCAGTCTTCCCATGTCCTCCCTTGTAGTCCCAATTAATATAGTTTTAATATTTTAATCGTAATATAGCTTTAGTATTCATATGAATATAGTCTTAGTATGAGACGGACATCTGCAAGCGGCCCAGGGTTGACGTCAGCACCCACACCGTCACCGGTGCCTCGGATGTCTTCTCGGCAGCTGTGTGGTCACGAGCGACGCAAGAGAACTCCATAGTTACGGAACCTGGCTGTGGTGGTGATGCTATGATGACGATGGTAACGATACTGACAGCCGTACAGACGATAACAGGTGCTAATGGTGACGATGAAGATGACGGCTCTGGCAAGCAGATAGAACTACGGGTCTCCCGACACGTATGACCGCACATGTCTTTATCCGCAAGGATGAAAACTCAATCACAAGTACGATCTGCAGACATTCAGGTGGACACAACAGTGACGACGCAGGACCGAGGACCAGAACCTGACGGCCAGCGACTGAAGTCGCTGTTGCGACATGATGACATTAACAATGGGGCCAAGAGCGAACCGGTGATGCCGGCTGATCGCGAGAAGTGGCTTAACCAAGGCAAAGCATGACGTATGGTGAGTAAAGCGTGATGAATGACCCACGAGTCATGGTTCTCTCTGGGCGACCTGATACGCTTATACACTGCTTGCCTCAGCCCGAAGGATGTTGTCGCTACTACTCTTCTGAACATAGCACTGTCATCATCGTATACCTTTGTCACTGTCATAATCGTTGCAGACTTTCTGCAACCACGAGTGCTGTGGCTTCTGCAATCATTTCCCCGCTTCTTGGCGGGGGCACTGGTGCTACTGTTGTGATTTTTGCTGCTGGTGACAGGCTGGTGATGTTGGTGACGACGGTCCTCATCATCATCTTCATCACCACCACCGTCAGCATCTTCTGCTTTGGTTTATCAACAAAGTTGGTTCACACGCGCCTCCACCGCCCAGAAAGCCATTGTCGTGTTATCCGTATGCCGTATGCCGTAGCAGTAGTGTGATAGCAGTAGTAGTAATAGTAGTAGTAGTAGTAGTAGTAGCAGCAGCAGCAGCAGCAGCAGCAGCAGCAGTGCAGCAGTAGTCATCGCGGTGGTGGTTGCGTCGGTGGTGGTGGCGGCGGTAGTCGTAGTAGTAGTAGTCGTCGTCGTCGTCGTCGCGTTGGTGGTGGTGGTGGTGGTGGCGGCGGTGGTGGTGGTGGTGGCGTCAGTAGTAGCAGTCGTAGTAGTAGTGGTAGTAGTAGTAGCAGCAGCAGCAGCAGTAGTAGCAGTAGTAGTATTAGGAGCAGCAGCAGCCACACTATTAACGGATTGGAGCGGCAGCAATGCAACTGCTGCCATTGATTTCATCTTCGTCTTCTAATCATCACTCGCGGCCCTCCTGTTCTATTCAGTGATCGACCCGAAATCATTGAATCCCGAACCTGAAACCCCCAAAGCCAAGTAGACCCTCAACTCTAAAGCCTGAAACCCTGAAGCCCAAAATCCTGAACTGACTGACTACTTGTGTATTGCATCCCAAGCGCGAAGGAGCCACTCCAATAGCTGAAGCCCCAGGTAGGCGAGCCCTGCTTCCAGGAGGCCGTCAGGGCCAGGGTCATAAGCCTGAGTTTGGGCCTTGAGATGATAACTCAGGCGTCCAGGGCCTTGGGTGAGTTAGTATTTCGGGGCTTTAGGATTTAGGGAGATGACGAACGGGGGCTTTCAAATTTAAGTGTAGTATAAATGATACTTGATAACGGATACTGCGCAAGTTACTCTAAGGATGAGTAAAGCAGAGGTTAAGGTAGGCTTAGCAGGTTTGCAGATTTAGCACCGTGAACGGCCTCGGGTTTCGTGCGGGACAGGCACAACGACATCAGAAGCATTATCGTACATTAAATAACCCGTAGGATCAATAAGTCGTAGTAGCCCTTACAGTGACCCTTGTGGTAATCCATGGTAATCCTTCACTTTCTTGCTGGATGCACAGAATTGAACTGGCTCCAGGAACCCAAGCCCGGGTTGTGTGCCTAAGTGAGCGCATGCTGTGTTGGCAAGATCGTGGATGACGGGCTTTGGGTCCCGTAGCGACCATGCAAGCGTCGAACTGACGACCTTGCATTTCTCGAGCAAGCCTGGCAGCCTCTCTCTCCAGACAAGGGACAAGGTCGCATCACAGCAGATGGGCCAAAACCACGCCATTTGCGGTGCATCGGGCAAGTGCTGGGCCAACTGCAGCAAGACAGGCAGTTGGCTTTAGAGTTGGCGCTGCTCCGCACTTGTATGTACCAGACTTAGATTCTCCTTATACCTTTGCTTGGCTTCGCTTGCTCGTTCGCGAATTTCAACTTTTCCACTCAAACCGGCAGGGAAGCTACAACTTCCTCCGCAAAACTTCTAGCTGCTATTCTAGCTGAATTTGGAAACAAGCAAGATGATGCCTGGAGAGGTTTGCCTAAGCAAGCAGCATCTCCAAGAGCCTCTGCCACGCCCATACCCAAGCAGAATATGAAGACATTGTGCTTTGTCTCCTTGGTGCAAACAAGGTGTTGGGTCCCGGTTCAGCGGTTCGCGGCTTACGGCTTCAAAACCGGTGCTTTCCAAGATCGGCTTGATGCGACATGGATGAAAGAAGAAAGGACCTGGCAAACAATCAAACAAGCGGCATAGAACCAGTAGTCCAAGTCCATGTCTTCATCTTGTCGGTATGCCTTCAACATCATGCACGGCTAGGGATGTAAAGTTCCTCTACTGCCCTTGCCGATACTTCGATCATCCCATCTCCGAAATCCATGAGATGACCGATCCAGAAATCTGCATATGCAGAAATATAAATATAGATATACATAAATACATAAATACATATACATATACATATACATATACATGTACATATACATATACATACATATACATATACATACATATACATATATATATATACACGCAATATACACAGAGTTACAGACACAAGTGAACAAATAAAGAACTCAGGAAGTAAACCAGATACACATATACACATACAGCTGTATCTACATATATACATATATATATATACACATATGTAGATACAGATAAATATAGATATACCTATACATACATATATATGCATACATGCGCACGCACGCGCGCACACAGACACACACACACACACATTTAGGGGTGAGGACATGTGCAAGGAGCGGAGATGCTAGAAGATGTGCATACTATAGAGGCCCTAGTAATTAGAATAGGGTTTGGGGGTATGTTTTACGATAGTAATAATAAGGAACCTCCACAATAGTATTGGTAATCATTTAAGCCTCTATGTTACCGGCCGTTCAGCTTCTTGAATGGCTGAATCGAAGGTTAGGAGCACTGGAGGTCGACATCTGGAAGCTTCTCAACTCTGTCTGGGCCAAGTCCGAAGGTCCTTATCACCTGGTGGTAGTGGTAGTAGTAGTAGTAGTAGTAGTAGTAGTGGTAGTAGTAGTAGTAGTAGCAGCAGCAGCAGCAGCAGTAGCAGCAGTAGTAGTAGTCGCCGCCGTCGTCGTCGTCGTAGTAGTAGCAGCAGCGGTCAACCTGAACCCTTAGAGGGAGGTCCGTGTCAGGCATCTTTGTGCGCTCGGAATCTTGTAGCAATTCAGCGGTTTAGGGTTTAGGGTTTGGGGGTTAGGGTTCTAGTCATACCGTCCAATTGCAATTCAAGGAGCAAGACGAGCCCACCTGGAGCACCGGCGTTGGGATGTAGGAAGTGTGACTAGGCCGCTGAGTGCGAAGAATCGTTCGCTGACTGAAGCACTTTAGCAAAATCCGTCATGAAGTAGACTCGCACTTGGTTCCACAGGAGCCCAGACTTGACAGCATCCTGTCATTTCCCATGCCTCATAGCTTCCTGTTATCAAACAACCCCGTACCGTAAATAAGTCTTACTTGTCACCACTTTGGATTGCATTTGTTGATTCCCTTCAGCTGCACAGCGGCTTTATGACTGGGGTTTCTCGTCCACAATGAAGCCAAGCTCCCGACTTCTCAAGTTAGACCTTTCAAGTTCTCGAGCAACCTTTGCTCCAGCTGCTACGTGCCAGGCTGCACTTCGTCGCAGAAGCCCAGCGTCATCAAACAGCCCCAAAGGGCCATCGGGTAGTGCACGCTGCTCCCGAAACCTCATGGTTGAACGGGGGGGCGGCTCTCCCTGCTGTCTCTGTTCGCGTTCTGTGCCAAACAAAGAGCAACGGGGCAATGGGATGAGTTGTTACACACCAAACCAGGGGCAGCACGCGGGACCAAGGCATGTCTGAAAAGCAAGCGCAGCAAAGCCACGCTGTCGTATGCAGCACAGGAGGCGGGAAGGCAGTGGAGCAAACAACCAGCACCTTGAATCTCCGGCTTGGAACCAGAAGGGCTCGAAGGTCATGGTGCTGATTCACATGTGAGCGTCAGCATTGGGTGTAGGAATCATTTAGAAGCTTTCTGAAAATCACAAGCAAAATGAAAAAGGAGACACTCGAGAGTCAGGCACAGCTCTTCTCTTCACACCCTGCTACACTTGAGTACGGATCTGGTTCCGAAAAGCGCGGGCCACTAGTTACGCGTGCTTCGAGTCCATCTCCGAGCCACGATCCTGAACCCCCTTCACCTTGAACCTCATCACTGAACTCTGCAGGCAGGAAAATGTCATGCAAGGCAGGCGCCACACCAGCGCGCAGACCGTCCATGCAGGAAAATTTGTGGCAGGAGAGGACCCGTGCCAAGTGCAAATCATCAAGACCGAGTCCTCGCGCAGCAGGCTTGGAGTACGGGAGGTTGCAAATTTCTAGGGTCGGGGCCAATGTTGAGATGGCCAGCCGCGTCCTGGAAGTCGGTTGCCAGGGATTTGCCCGACAAAGCCAACACCAGGAAGTGAATTCCTTAGAATCTGCAGCTCTGTTTAGTGATCTCCCGAACTCAGCCAGAAACATCACTCCTAAACCCCTGCACGAATGATCTTTGCTAGCTTCTTTTGACACATGATCCTTCCGCATCCCCTATTCGAGCATGCAGCCTCTTCCTCGCACGAGATACGTGTGGCAGTCAAAGCCAAGCCTACCCGCCTTGCCACTGCGTGGCAGACTGGAACGGAACAACGAAGCTCCCCACCGCCCCACTCCTAAAGGAAGATCGTAGACGAGATGCCATAATACATCGGAAGAACTCGAGCGGTTCGTCGCAAGTAGAATGAAAGCAGGTGTGCGTTGACACCAGACATCTTGTCCTTGGATCAGCGCAGAACATCCCACCGGCTGTATACTGCCCAATCAAAAAATGAAGAACTTGCATCGTCATGTCACATCGCCGAATCGGAAATGACAGAATCTCTGTCTCATCGACCCTGCCTCCCGATCCCTTCTTCTCTGATGACTCAGAGGCACTACATAGGCGTACTGCGTCACGACGCCCGAAAAGAAGACGAAGAACGTCACGGAGCAATATGCCAATTGCGAAAAGATACTTGGGTTGCCTTGGCGCACAGTTTCCACGCCAGGAACTGGAATACCGTCTGCTGTCGCATGCTCTCCAAATGCTGATAAAGCTATGCAAGAAAACCTAACCCGGTGTCACTCAACCTGAACTGAATCACAAGTGACTCCGTGTGCAGCCCTCCTGTCCCCAACCACAGGCCACAGTCTAGTTTTGACATGAGAACCCTAAGTGCAGGTCGGGTTGCAGTAATGGTGCCAGATGATGATGCAGCACATCAGAAACTGCCAACCTGGCTTTGTACCGGAAACAGCGATTTCGAGGCTTTCTTGCAGGATTGGTTGCAGCTGTTGGGGTACGAAGTTTCTACGAACAAAAACCCGTTCCAAGCCTTGAAAATGCTCTAGTCGCAGCCGCTTGTCCTGAATGTCAGCGCTGTAGGTGCTTTGGGCTTTTGCATGTCGCGTTTTGTCTTTCTGTGCAAACAGCCCATCGGTCCACCTTGCACGCATCCACTTGGATCCACTTGAAAAGCTCTGTATACCCGCAGCAAACCGGCAGGTGACACTGCATGAGCATCAGAGCACGTACCCTGCGAGCACGAAAAGAACGTATGGAAGACATTTGTGCAAACACTAGCTACATGAACCCTGCAAGCACGCTGCAACTGAACTCGTCCTGGCGCCGTTCCCCCTGGGAACAGTGGGCTGCCAAAGCCACGGAAATGGCCTTGCGACACCGGCAAGGCTTCAGCTTTGGGTCCGAAGTTGATGCACTGAGCTCTTACCTAACGAATTATACCTAACACCCAGGTACACCGCTACCTGTGTCGTTAGTATGCAGATTTTTGCGGTCTCTACTTGTCATCAAGAACTTTTGAACACTGTCAATGTTGCTATGTTTGCAGATACCCTTTGAACACTGATGAGGATGATGACGGTGAGATTGGTGTGCTGATGCTGATGATGAAGATGTTGCCGTTGCCGTTGCTGACGACTATGATGGTGATTGTGTAAGATATGATTTCTAACGATTGCTTTGCGGCATGTGTGACTGCAGGTATCCCTGGATTCCTTGTCCAACGCACATCTGGCAAAATCAGCAGCAGCTCCTGTATAATCTCGTGAGGTTTCGTCAGTTGCCGGGCATGCAGCACCCGACATCACCCTTAATTAAAAAATGGCCAACTGAGTCTAACAATTTCGGAACACACCAGAATCATTCAGACCACACCGTAAGGAACGCTAAGACTTCCCGCCCAAGCAGTCCGGGCATGAGGTGCGCTGAGCACTTTTGCTGCACCGGACATTGTTGTCCCTTGCAGTAGCTGAGCATAAGCCACTGGGTAGTAGTAGTAGTAGTAGTAGTAGTAATAGTAGTAGTAGTAGTAGTAGTAGTAGTGGTAGTGGTAGTGGTAGTGGTCGTGGTGGTGGTGGCAGTGGCGGTGGCGGTGGTGGTGGCGGTGGCGTTGGCGTTGGTGGTGCTGGTGGTGGTGGTGGTGGTGGTAAGAGTCGTCGTCGTCGTCGTCGTCGGCGGCGGCGGCGGCGGCGGAGTAGTAGTAGTAGTAGTAGTAGCAGGAGTAGTAGCAGGAGTAGTAGTAGTAGTAGTAGTAGTAGTAGTAGTAAGAATACCAATAATAGCAGTAGTAGTAGCAGTTGTAGAAGAAGCGGTAGTGGTAGTGCTGGTTGAAGTGGCAGTGGTAGTGGTAGTGGTAGTTGTAGTAGTAGCAGTAGTAGTAGCAGCAGTAGCAGTAGCATGAGCAATAGCGAGAGCAGTAGTTAGTAATGTAGTTGATAGTTAGTCTTGAGTCCTGAGTCATGAAGCCTTAGTAAGTACTACCTCGTACGTAGTATAAAGTAGTTAGTTGTCGTCGCAGTTAGCAGTTTTTGATGTCAGCAGTCGTAGCGGTTCATCATCGCATCGTCGTAATCGTGGCAAGTCTTGGTCGTGGTAGTAGTGCTAGCAGCAAGCACTTGTGTGCCGACATTCGGGAATCCTTTGGTAGCTGTGCCAGCAAGATCATCGAATCATCATAATCCCGGACCCTGCAACCAAAAGCCTAACTCCTCCACCACTGCTTCCGAGGAACCAGCGACCAGGCAAGTGCTATGCCACTAAGTCGATTCCAGGCATCGCGATCGTCGGTCTGGTCGAGGCGATCGGCTTTGCAAATGCTTCGTGCTCGCATCGGGCATGCTCTTTCAATGCCGTCACTATATAGGGCTAGAAAGGTGCTGGCGTGGGCTGTGCGCGGCCGCTGAACTTCACAGCGCATCCTGAAGACATTCCCTGTGCCAAGTCGCTTGGAATTCGTCAGCCGCGGCTGAATCCGCCAACGTTCCATCACCGTCACTCTCGGCTGCCATGGCTTAAGGCATCCCTGCATTGGCTTCGTCTGCCTGTGCCGATGCCACGCGTTGTGAGTTACATAGGGCTAAGGTACTTTGTCCCTGGAGTGCTTGTTTTGCCTTTTTCGAGGCTAGGCCGGCTAGGCTGACATTCAGGCGAACGTGAAAGTTAACCTGATGGCCCTATGTCGCTAGCTTGCTGTGCTAACTGCTGTGGATGGACGACTGAACATTTTGGGGATCTGCCGCATCTTTTTTCATTCATGGTTCTCTCTCTCTCTCTCTCTTTCTCGTTCTCGTTTCGGATCAGAAACAGCTTCATTCCGGAGATCGCAACCAGGCCAGTGCAATGAATGCAGACAGCTTCTGAAAACAATCCGGCCGGGATGCCGTTCGCAAAGCAGCTTTGCTCATTCTGTTCCATGACCTGAAAGTCTTAGAGTCTTTCTTGAAGCTCCCATAAAATCTCTCGAAGCCCAAACTAGACAACCAGATTGCTCGGAGGCAAAGCTTTCGACAAGGGCCTTCATGAAAGCCACAGGGCCTGGGAACAGCGACAAGAACGACCCCAAGATTCGCGACAAGCCACCCTCACGTACCTTGACAAGCACTCCTTTTGCCAAATTCTGAGCGGCCCGACCAGTCAGGTGGGTAACGTGGCATAGCCTTCCAGAGGCCCCGTCATAAACGGTACGAAGAAAGGCATGAATGAAGGATACGAGACATGAGAGCCTGATGGGGACGATGTAGAGGGTCGGGCTCTCGAGACTCTCTTGGCAACACCTACCACCTGCCGTTGGGAAGCAAGCCTCTCGGTTCTATACCTGAAATGTCAAATGACGACCGACAGAAGGACACTAGCAGAATCACACGCGCATGCACGCGCGCACACACACACACACCCACACACCCACCCACCATAGGGAGTCCATGAAATCGCCACATTCGTGCGCCTGTAATTAGACAAGTCCCTCTGCAAGGATTCACATGGCGTTCTGGGGTGAAACATCCAGGGCAAAGAGGGAAGCATCCGTCTTATCAGAATGTAGGGAGTTTCGGGTTTAGGTTAGGCTTCCCTAAGCCTGGTTGCTCAAGCCTAGGCTGGGCCTAGGCTTGAAATAACGTCCAAGGTACATCGGGCTCTGTACTTTTCAGAGCATTGAAAATTAACACCCCTGGCTGTCAGAGTACTGCAGCGCTCCTGCCGTGGACAATGCTCTGCTGGTTGCAATTGAGGTGAAAGGACTGCGTCACTCCTCCTCTAGCTGTCGAAGACTTTGCTGCGAATTCCCAAAGTGTTAGGCTTGGAGCCACTTCTATCTCGTGAACAGGCTCTGTGCAGGTGCGATTTCCAGTCCATAGGAGCTGCCGGCAGATTCTTTTTCGGGCTGTCGTACTCTGACCACGGGTAGGATGATATCATTCCGGCCGCCAGTTTCCGGCAGCCAGATTGACTGTGAGCTTCGTGGTCCGGCCAGGCTTTTAACGTCATAAAGATAAGCAGGTTGTCGGAGAATCGGGTAGAATCTACGGTGTTGGGATGAGACATTGGTGCATCTGCTGAAGACTTCATCGACTCAAATTGTACCATTGTCAAGAGTCTGGACCCTAAAGGGTCTGACTACCTAATCGCCTCCCCCTAGTAGTAGAACCTCCCACCCTCCCTGATACTGAGGGGTTGTGGCTTTCAATCTTCCGCACTCGTACTTGGCAAATACGTTCCGTACAGCAAAGAAGGGCTACAGGTCAACCTGCTCCTGGCTTTGGGTTCATCTTGGCTATCATTACAGTGATACTACCCCTAATCCGTCATCCATGCAGCCATCCCTCGATCCCTCCATCAGTCCTTCCATCCGTCCCTTCATCCTTCCATCCCTGCACCCGTCCATCCCTCCATCCCTCCGTCCATCCATGCATGCACATATACATATACACATGTGCAACACGGCGCACAAATTCACATGCGCTGCCATATGCACAATTAACTAGCAAACGAACGAACTAACTATCACTCACTCACTAAATATCACTCACTCACTAAATAACCAACTAATTAACCAAATAATTAGCTAGCTAGCTAGCTAGCTAGCTAGCTACCTGGCTAACTAACTCATTAACTTTCTAACTACCTACGTACCGAACTAACTAAGTGACTGACTGACCGACTGACTGACTGACTGACTAGCTAGCTAGCTAGCCAGCTAGCCAACTAACTAGCTAGTTTGCGACTATATACGCTGAGAAGTGAGTCAATGTCGTTAACCAGTTTCTTGATGATTTCATGAAGTGTCAGGTACTTCAGAGAGTTGGAAGATTCATCGATTTGCTACTATCTGCTTGATTAGCTTGCTGAACTTACTTGTTAACGAGTTCTAATTCAATCATGAGTTTAACTAGCTGAATAGTTGAGAACCGTACAGTGCATCTCTAAAGATACATTTACATGTACGTCGATGGATACGTATGTACATGTACATATACAGTTAAATCTATACGCGCAGATACATAATATGCATAACATGGCGCTCATATACATCCACACATAGAAATGCACATGGCACAAGATCTGTGACAGAGCGATTCGGGAGCAGATCATCAACGTGTAATTTGGCTACTGTTTGATGACTGGCATGATGGCTCTGATGGGACTGCGTGGACTGCATGATAGTTCGAAGCATAGCTCCCGTCCAAGGCCTGGGATGGCCAGGGTTGGTCTGGACGGTGGTTGCAAGACCTTGTTGGCGTGTGGCAGAGTAGGAAGCCACTTCGCAGACCGCAGAGAGGAGATGCGGCGATACGCGTTGGGATATTTGGGATCTTCGAGCCCCCAGATCTTGTTTCAAGCCGAGGGTGAGGCGGGAGCCCGTCTTTCTCCGCGACATCAGCAAGAGTGCAGTGCAGCCACGCTGTCTGACAGCAGCTCTCGTTCCTCAATCGCTGATTATGGATCTGTACTTGGGGCCTTGTCATGCCTTGTCGGTGCTGCGGTTGGTTGCATGCTGAATCCATGGGCATCTCCCGGCAGCAGCAAGTCGGAAGCTGTGGTCTCGAAGAGACCCTTGCCCAAATTGAGCCAATGTGATACTGTGATTCCTCGTCGTGCACTTGCAGGGTGCCGGTGGGCACCGGCTGTCGGATTTAGCAGGACGCTTCAATTGCTGCAGCCGCATCGTTATGGCTTGCGGCCTTCCCTCGAAATCTTATTCGAGAAGTAGCTGGGAAAGCAGGCTACCATCTTATTGTTTAAATGCGCCCGTGGAAGCTGACCCAGAGCTGTGCATCCAGCTTGCAGATCTTGTATGTGTCATGGAGATGTGCTTGCTCGCGAGTCATGAGTGCATACAGGGCGCTCGACACCCCGCAACGAGTTATTATTATATGCATGTATAGGCTGATTCCGACCTGGATTTCGTGTCTTCGAAGTGACGCTGAATATGCACACAGGTGATCTGCCACAGGGCTTGCTGGATGCTTGCTGTGTTTCTATCCAATGTTGAGCCTGGCCGGATAAACGTCCGCACTCCACCACAGGATAAGAAAAACCCTAAGGGTCCGATGCCAGGGGCTCTTTGAGAATCCTTGGAACAGTTATTCAGAACCTCAAGCTTATTCGAATCCTTCTTGGACCCTTAGGGACATGGAGGTGGTGCTCGGTTGCAACACAACAAGGCCATGTCTAGTTTCCCCGGGTTCGGCTGAGGATTCTGACGGATAACCACATGGCGCAACAAACACGTGCATCTAGCAGGCTGTGTCCTCAAGCTATTGTGTGCACCCCTGTTCTCTGGTCTTTAGCGCTTACCCACAGGCAGCGTTTTGCAGTCCACTTTCCAAGAGCACCTGATAGGACACACCTGTCAGCATTCTACAACTTCTGCTGGCTATCCCCTTCCGCGAACTTGCGACCGCAAAGACGGTAGACTGCTTGCTCCCTGCTGTCAAGATCAACTTGTTGGGGTTGCAAGTCATCCCTCCTCCGCTTGGTCTGCATCTTCTCTTGCTGGCAATGGTTCCATGTTTGAAACACTGAACGAAGTGCTTATCATACTGCCGATACCGCCGAAGCTGGCAGAGAGTGCTACGAAATGCACTGAGCTGTGTTGACATGGTCTTGCAGCAGGCTACTCAGGGAGCTGTCCTTGGCTGTTGGCGCAAGTGGTGGAAAACATCAAGCACACACCTGTTGTCTGTTCACCAAAATGCTCATGTTCAGCATGGTCGGGTTTGTCGACTCTTGCTACGCGTGTATGAGCACGCGCATTTGCATACACATGCACAGACACAGACGCATAAATGCATATGCATTCATTAAACAATATACCATATAACATATTACCTTACATTACGTTACAATACAACTACATTATACTAATACATTAAACAGCCATTACATTACGTTACGTTACGTTAAATTACATACATCCGTGCATTTATTCACACATCCATTCAGTCTTACATGTATACATCTGGCAGATCAACCTATGTGTAGATGTCTATGCAACAGCGATATCGACACTCGTAAACAAAAAGGCTAATTGCAATCATTTGCGGTACACATGTTTGTGTGTGTGCGGATAAAGATATTTAGATTACAGACACAGGGAAAAAGATATAGCCATAAATATAGAACTGATATAGATATGCAGTTTTTGTATGTCTACACCCATACACACCGACACACACACACACACATACACACACACACACTGGGGCAAGGATGAGATTCTGGCCGAGGCTCGATATCCTAGCCAGTCCTTCGGAGCCTCATAGTCCCAGTGCCGCATGAAGCGGAGCAGGGTGACCTGGTGGTGTGGACCCCAGGTGTGGGGAGGCAGGCAATTCGACCGCCCTGAGGGGCATGGGAGTGCAGGGTGGACTACTTTGGGGATATGCCCATAGCCCGAGAAGCTTCTGCATGTGAGCAATGCGTAGAGGCCTGACCTGCCCCGAAAAAGTTCTGCCCAACTCACAACGGGTCGGTGGAGACCGTGATCTGCATCAGACTCCGGTGCAGTCCGAGTCACCGTCGGCCCGTCAACAGGCCAATCAGCCTGCTGGCCAGGCTACTGAGAAGAGTATCTGGCTGCATCGCATCTACGACTACTATCTCCAGCTCTATTTCACCCGGCTACACAAAAACAACAGTCTTGCGCATTGAGCCATGCTGTTCTCCGGTTGGAATCACTTCCATGCCGTCGCCTCAGAGGTTACGAGCCGTCGGCCGATATCGTGCTGCGGCTGGTAGTGGCAGGTGAAGAGCCTTAGCAACGTCAGGAAGCTGACCAAAGCAACAACGAGGTATCACTCTTGTTCTGCTGGTGTCGGTGCTTCTAGTGGTGGTGGTGGTGCTGCTGCTGCTGCTGCTGCTACTACTACTACTACTACTACTGCAAGCTCCAAAGAAAGAACTGCACATACAGCGTTGATTTCAAGTCTCAACTTGGGCCGATAACTCTGGGTCGGCATGTTCATAGAATTACCGAGCTGTACTTGCCGGAAGATCTCCGGGGAGAAACCACGGAGCCTGCAATAAGGACACAAGAGCTAGACTACACAAATCGAGCCGGGGCGCATGTCGCGCGCTGCAAGCCACTCTCCTGCCTGATCAGCCAGGGACAGTGTTGCGGCTGCATCGCAACAATGGCGCGAACACACTATTTAATAGTTACTACGCCGCAACGCATCTCTTTAATTGCAACTCTTCGCGGTAAATACGTGATGCGGTCGCACGGGCAGTGAGCATGCCGGCACCTCGTAATTGCGGTATGCCATGGCAAAGCGCTGGAAGAACTCCTCCGAGAAAAGCTGGCGCATCTGCCGGATGTCCTTAGCCGATACGACGTTCGTGGACATCCGAAGTGACAACTTGGAGGATCCTCCGAAGTTCATGATGTGAGATTTTCAACTGCTCGTTGCCGAAAGCGTTGGCCAACACATCTCTGAAAGCTCTTCTCTCACTTTATCAAAAAGAGCTCCGCTGAATTTGATGCAAGTGGCCGGGTTGCTCGTCATGGCATCCCACACACGGTATTCCTGGCCATCACTTGGACTTGGCAAGAGGCTGCCAGCATCAAGTCAACGGCAGGCTCCCTGAGTTGCCTTTGTCACAACAGAACTCATTTGTAAAGGCGCCCCCACGTAGCGCTCTCTCTCTGGTTTGACGTCTGCTTCTTGCAATGTGCCAGTTCTCGACAGCATATACAAATTCACCGCATACCTGATTGTAGCTGCATAAGTGCACTTGCAGATACGAAGGCCCTGTTGCTATATGATTGTGGCCATCATGATGCGCCACAACACCAGTGATATGAATCCTAATTACAAGAGACTCTAAACCCCAAAGCTTAAACCCTGAAGCTTCGCACCTTTCTATCTAAACCCTAAACCCTAAACCCCTAAAGCCCCAAGCCCCAAGCCCTAAACCCTAAACCCTGCATTTCCATCTCCTCGGCCATCTTCTCGCTCTTCCGCACCTCGCGAAGCTGGCGGATCTTGAAGCGGTTCCTGCGACGAAAGAAACCGATGGTCATCCCCGAATCTCGACGATGCCTGATAGATGCGGAGCTATATCTATAAATAAATAAACATATATATATATGTTTAGGTATAGATATAGATAGTAGTTATCCCTCTGTGTATATATACACAAACATAAAACATAGATATATCATATATATATATATATAATATGTACAGGCGTATGCGGGTGTGTGCGCATTTGTACAGACACATAATTACATCTACACACATTTTCCAAAAAATACATATGCATACAGGTACATGCGGCTGTGTGTGTGTATATATATATAATACCTCGCCGTGACTTGTAATTTCGACGACCCTTCATGCGCTCATGCGATGGGGCTTGCTGTGTGGAAGATGGAAGCCTGCATAAACCCCACAAGCACCATCAAAGTAACCGCAACGTAGGGACAGTGTGCGATCTTGCCGCATCTGAACGACTTCTAAACTAAGCTTTCTCAGCCTGATGATTCGATCAGGCCCCTGCTCGACAACATGGATCCTGCCAGATGCGAGGGCTTGATGAGTTCAGAAGTATGAAGTGATCTTTCGGGTTTCGTTTATATGTGCTGCTCTGGCTCTACAGACAAACTGTGCTGCACGGGTGTGCAATGGCCATTGCATGCGGTGTCGAACATATGGTTCAGAAATGCAGGCTACGACCAGGGGCAAGGCACCGTATTGTCAGGCTAGCTCATTATTCTGGCAATGGGAGTACCACGAGTTCCTGAGCCATCCAGTGAAGCATGAGGGGTCCGTCCAATTTGTCCTGTCTCACATGATATCCTGCTGACTCTCCAGCAGCTCTGACCAAAAGCAAGGAAGAGCGAGGCTTCAAGGAAACTTAAAACCCAGTCCCGGCTCAGGATTCATAACGGATTCGACAGTTCTGCCTTGAGACGTCCAGATCCACGGTGTACACGCGCATAGGGATTCCTCAAGGAAGCGAATAGCCAGAACATGTAAAGAAGAACGAGCCAGAGCCCATCATGACATTCCCAGGTCTGTCTCAGATCGCGTCCTCTTGTCCCCAGTTGTGTCGTGTCCTACGAACCTTCAACTTCCTCAAGCCGAGCTGCGTGACCCGCTGACTGTGACTTGGTCGATGAGTCTGCAGGTCAAGGCTACCTGCTCGAGATGTACTTGTGCCTTCCAGGTCAGTAGACATGTATATATGTATCTATGTTAGTATGTATGCATGCATGTATGCATAAACACATAATCCCGACACACACACACACACATATACATATGCACCTACATAGTTTTCTATATAATGTTGTAAGATTGTAGTATGCCTATACATCAAATACATACGCATGTAATGTTGTAATGCGCGTAGACTGTTAATTGTTTGTACGTGTGTGTCTGTGTGTCTGTCTGTCAGTCTGTCTGTCTGACTGCTTCGAAAAAAGTGCTAGAATCGTCATGTAGGTCGGCAGTCCAAAAAACACATGAACAAGGCTCTAGGATTGTGATGACAACATCGACCACAAGTGTGTCGCACCGAGCTTCCAAACCTTCCAGAAGTTGCGTGCCGAATGTTTCCGAGGCCTCGTTGCTGCACATGTTCACCTGCGATGCAACGGCTTCGGATCTGGGCGGACAGCAATGCCTGGTCTCTGCTTGCAAGCTGCGTTTTTCAATCCGGAGCCGGTTGAGGCTGGGACCATGCTGTGCGAAAGCAGCATCCACACCTTGAACTGGGATGTAGCGGCCTCCCAAAGCGACATGCACTTCACATGACGAGGAAACACGACACAAATGCAGCTCAATGTCTTTTTTGGCACAGAAAACATGAGCATTTCAATAGTTGCAGCCGCAACGTCGCGCGCCTCAAGCTTTGAGGCGACGTTGACGTTGGGAGAAAGGTAGGAGGCATCGATCTTGTACTCGCTGCCGATGGCTCCCTGCTCACATGCATGGTTGCCCTGCCAACTGGAACAAATCACTAGTCTGAGGGTGATAAAGCACAAGCTCTGGTGCTATTGCCTGGCGATGCACCTCGATGGAGTCTCTAGGAGCGTGCACTTCGAGGAATGATGGCTTATTCGATGTGACCGGGCCTCAATCGCCCAGCCGCAGTGCAGGCCAAACCCGAGGGTAACCCGGTAGTCCTCCAGGCAAGTTGAATTGGAGAAGCTCTCGCTGACTCCGACGGCCGCAACAGGTCTCTGTTATCATGGGCGCGAGGTTGTCGAGTGCAGAGTGCTGCCCCCCGACAGACCAACTACGCTTCAGGGCAACGTTTCTCCATGAGTTCTGTAACACTTGGCACGTTGCGGAATTCGGCATGAGGGCTTCTACATCCGCGTGCGTTCTTCTGCGATAAGCTCCTGTATTCGCATCTGGAAGCCGGGATGCTGACGATAGGCAGCAATGACCCGCGACCTGAAGAAAGCTAACGTGGGTAAGGCGGAAAGCCCGTGGGCAGCTCTATTACTAGTAATAGCCACTGACTAGATTGCTACTAAGCATGGATGCAAATTAGTGCAGCAGCTGCTCAGCTACTGCTACCACGATTGCACTTGCTATTACCACCATTACCACTACTGCCAGCGTGACCCAAATTAAACCAGATCTCGGATAGGAGCAGGCCGTATTCTTTCGGGTCATGGCATGCGGCTGAGCAAAACTCTGCTCGGAGCGTAGCTATGGCCGGAAACTGCTCCGTTTCTCAGCCTATTAACCGGCAGCACTATTGCGACCATTTTTTGCAGCACTCCTGCTTCTTGTGCACTCAACTCATGATGTTGCCCGTCACTATGATTGTGACCATGATTACCAGCAGCTGCTAGTCTTATGGTATGACCACTACTCACTACTCGTACTCATACCAGTCTTACTACGATTGTTTTGTACCTCGGAAGCTCCAAGGCTATCACTTGTTGATCTCCGCGATGATCTTCACCTTAGGGCAGGTGGTTCTGTGGGTTCTTTTAGATTTTACAGCGGGCTTTAGGATTGTGAAGCCAGCGGCCGGAAATGCAGAACCAGCGAGACCGGGAGAACGACTGCAGCCTCACCAGGACGTTCTGCCCGAGGAGTGTCAAAGTCACCAGACCGATCCCCCTCTGATGAATTTCCTCTTGGAAGCCCCAAGGTGCTCGGACAAATGCTGTGCTAAACGTGATGGATCATACTCTTCGGATTCAGGACACATACCATGCTGTAGAACCATCTTTGCAGAATCACCTGCCAAATTTCCGACCTAGCAGTGGCTAGCTCGGAAGTGCGGATGAGTCTCAACCCGGACGCCGAGTGCCGGGCAAAGGACATGAGGGACATGTCGGCCAGCTTGGTCTGCTTTTCCGGGAGACCTCCGCGACTCGGCACGAGTCGGGGTCTAAGAATCCCTCGTCCGAAGACGTCCCTTTGGCTGGTTTTTGCCAGCAATCGGAAACGCGGCGGCTGAAACTCGAGCCTGTCAGCCGCCAGATCACCAAGAAGGCATCGCCGATGTTCCGATTTGGCGCACCGTGGAAGTCGTCCACGCCTTGAGCTATGCCGGCTGAGGTCGGATTCACGATCGGCTGCAACTCGTCTAGAATCAGTGTCGCAAACCCCTTACAATTGTGGTTCACAGGCCCTGCCTGACTTCCTCAACCTTCCCCCAGTCGATGAACGGTTGGCCCTTCAGGCCCTGAGGCAAAGGCATCCGTGGACGATCTCACCCACCTGGTTCACCTCCAGGACTGTGTGGATCGAGTGAAGATTGGTGCAAACTATTTAGGGCGCCTGGGGACACGCTCCCATTACGCAAGCTGCCTGACATGGAACTCCTAAACTTAGGACACCCTTCCCAAACTTAGAACCGTCATGTTTTGCCGGCATCAACTTGAACTATAGCGAGAGTCAACTACTGAACTTCGAAGCCTGTGCAAATTGGTACTGTTCTGTGCTGCTGTTGGCCCCCAGACACCATAGAAGGGGTCTGCCTCGTCTGGCTTGTTATACTACAGCCGTCAAGACCAGCGGAGACAACAAAGCTTGCAACGGAGCGTCGTGCACCGACCCAAAAAGACGCTCTTGGGATGCGGCGAAGAGCATCACCTTCTCTTTCAGAACCTGGTCATGGCGCAACTGAGCCGATCAGGATGGAACACTTGTGGACCACTTGCTGAGTCTGGATTCTGCCGCAGTATACATGTGTAAACCCTAGCTATCTATCTAGCTTTCTATCTACATCCTGTCTCTATCTCTGTATCTATCGGCCGGTTTAGGTTGCTTGTCTGTTGTATCTTTGCTTGTTTGCCGGGTTGTCTGCTTGATTGTTTGTCTGTTTGCGCGCTTGCTTGATTGCCTGTTTGTCGTGCTCATGGGTACTTACATGCATGCACACATGCTTACATGCGTACCTACATACAATCAAGCGTACATACCTCCATGCATGCATGACTGCGTGCGTACGTGCGTGCGTGCGTGCAACATACATACATAAACCGGCATATATGTGACACCGTCCCACGGCGAGAACAGAAGATGAGACGACTGGCTGCCATTGCAAAGCCGAAGCCATCCCGAGTTTCAAGCTTCTTGGCCATGTCGGACAGGAGTCAGGACATGAGTTGCTCAACCATGGCGTGGAGATAATACGGTGCGACTTGTGGAACCATAACAGTAGAACATCATGGACAAAGCATCTCCGAGACACACGGAGGATAGCTTCGAGATAAGCACGGATACTTGTCCTCTGATGCATGTAAGCAGAATTAAGCTGTTACCCTCCGACCTGAAGGCGCAGAAACGCAAGAATGAACATCAGAAAGACCCTCCAACGCGTGCACCCCCATAGGTCAATGGCATGTTTCCACTGCCTGGAAGCTTCCAAGCAATAAGCCACGGCCTCGGTCGCTGCCATGAAGTTCCGAATGTTGCAAAAGCCGATGATGGCTTCGACCTCAGGCAGGGGTTCTCAAAAGCGTGACCTGTAAGTTGCCATGACTTCACTCCAGAACAATGCTGCTGAAAACAACCCGCCATCTGAAGACACGTTTGCATTCATCCATCTTCAATGTGAACTTCTGGACGAAAGGGTTTGATGTCGCAGTCTGGATATGATCCACGTCCCATAGCAAGCTTGATCCTTTCGGGGCATGTGCTCCGTCTGTTGCAATCCTTGAGGGAAGAGGTTGGGGACGGGCAAGTTTGGGCTTAGACCACCTTCCAGGTGTAAATGAAGGCTGGGAACTGAATGTAGGGGCCTAAATCATTGGAATAGGGTTTTGGGGCATATGGAGACTTATAGCAGAATTATAGAACTTAAGAGCCAGTATTGGTTAACAGCCAGGCTTTGATGTTACTGCCCTTCTTCTGCGGAAGGGTTCCCTTAAAGGGCGTGCGCAAGCTTCAACGAGACTTCGTGCCTTGGAGCCAGGGACCATGGCGTTGACCCCGGCCGTGGCACTCACCTGGGGTTCCAGGTTTCAGAGCTCCAGGGTCTGTTCAGAGCTGAAGGACCTAAGGACCTAAAGCTGTAAATGTGCATGTTCTGGTCGAAGTGGGAGGGGTAGGTAGGTCTGAGGCAGGAATTTTGCGGGAGTTGTTTGCCGTGTCGGTTGCGCCATGCAAAGTCCAATTTAGCAAACACCGTTCAGCCACTTACTGATCAAAGATCCACGGCCCTGTGGTTATGCGGTTATGCGCACATGGCTAGCACCGACTGCCTTGCCGATTCTTGCATTACGCATCGTGCTGGTTAGTGTCTGCACTGCCACTCCAGCTGCATGTTACTTGCAAGGAAGCTGCAGTGATCCTGCATCAGCCGAACCACTGCGCTGTTGAAAGCATGGATCGGCCAAACTAATTTGGGCATGTCTGCCCGCCCGCTGGCGCCCTCGCACATGGTATGCTGATGCAAAGTACCAGTATCAACCGCCGAAGCCAGTTTTCCCTGTGCTTGCCAGCGTGCCTTCATGTTCTGGCCAATAACCTCTGCCCCAGCTTCGCCAAAGCCTAAAGCCAACAGTCCACCAAGCCTGGGCTGGGTGAGCTGTGCTTAGTTTAGGGTTTAGGCCCTACGGGGTTTCGGGTTTTAGGGCTTAGGGTTTGGGGTTTAGGGTTTGGGGTGTCGCAATGAATATGTTGTAACAGTTATAACAACGATAAAGAGGCGACATCAACGCCGACGACAATTCGGCCAACCTTTACTGTATCAGCACAGCCAACAAGCACTACAGAACTCGCCGCAGCAGCTGCAGGATCACGACATCTCCACAAGTATCAACACATGGAAAGTCAGAAGCAACAGAATAGGAGTCAAAAACATGTTAAGCGTGCCGAATCACGGCTGCCACGGGGACATGAAGGGTCTTGTCGTGTCAAGCTATTGGAGAACTCCAGTTGATACGGATCGGTGTCGATTTGCAAGGTTTTGTTGGCAAGGTGGCATCATTTTGTCAAGCTAGTTAGTAGGGCTTTCGAACGCAGGGTCCCGTCTTGATCCAAAGGAACCTGCTAAGTCTTGAACGGCTTCGTTGCTCTCATACTCTTACCCATAGGCGCCTAAGTAGTTCCTTTTTGGGATTACCTTATAGGGTTCTAAATATAAACCAAAAAAGGAACTGCTTAGGGGCCTATGTGTAGTTTAGTTTTAGCAGCTCCGCCTCCGTTGAAGCTCAACAGCCTCAAGTCCCGGAATGGCTGAGGTGGCTACTTGATGATCGTCTTTTCTAGCATGACTGTCTCCATGGGCTCCTGTTAGCCAGGAGATAGAAAGCAGCTCCGGAAGCAAGAGGATGACTACTGCTGCAGGGGATTCGGGGATTAAGGGCTTTCGGAACATGGCTTCTTTTGAACTTAGGATTTGCGACCAGGAAGGTCGTCAACACTGGATCTCGCGCGCTTCAGTCCTTGTGCTTCTTCGCCCGGCGGTATTGGTAGAGGAGCTGGCCGGGACAACTCTTCAAATAGAGTAGATAGATAGACAGTCAGATCGATCCATCGATAGATAGATAGATAGACAGATGGACAGACAGATAGATGGGCAGGTAGCTAGGTCAGATAGATAATAATGTCAGACAGATCAACAGATAGATGGACAAATGGCTAGGTAGGACGACAGAAGGATATAGATACACCCATGGGCTGTGAGACGATAGATGCAAGAGCACACTAAAGCATAGCACATATATGCGATAGAAACAAATCACAACTGTGCGTGTCAGATAAGCAGATTTCTACAGCAACCGTAGTGTGTCTTCAAGGGGTACATGTGGAATATTCAAGCCTGCAAATTGCATATTCCCAACCTGAGCCAAAATTGCTTGATGGGGATCCTCAATTCCTGCATCCCCAAACTTCGCTCGCGGATGATCTGGGCCTGCCAAGGTCGGCTCATTTTTTCCAGCTTCTGCCGGAAGTGAGCCTGGCAGATGCAACATCTTATCTCGGATTTGGGTCACAACAGCCTAGTTCAAAAATCATGACCTGCTATACTTGTGGTACGGTGGTCGTATATTCAAGTTTTACTAGGGCTTACTAGGGGGCCCCAAAGGAATACCATTCTGATCATGCAGGTCCCGAAGACTTCCACCTTCTTTCTGTGGCGTCACATCACCTCGGAAGTATCGCCGTTTACTGCGCCACGGCACGTACACGAAAATTCAACTTGCAATGCGTGTAAAATGCACAACCCTAAACCCATAAACCCTCAA